AAAAAAGGAGAAATTAGTGGGTCCGGTACAAATACAAAAATACAAATATCAAATATTCACTCAAGAAAGAAAAACAAATTACAATTGCTAACCAAAAAGGCCAATTAATGGAGTAACGTAGCGTCCTACCTCACTGGCAATAAACCAGAACCACTTATAATTAGGTTTTAATTGGAGGACACGCTACCAATTCGGCCTAAACAGCTCAACTCGGACCATCACACTCAAAACAAACACAAAAACAACAAATTGAAAGCACAAACACAATTTTTACACCACAAGAAACCAAACTATAAAAAACAGCAGCACGACCCACAGTTGGTCATCAACTGGACTGCGGAAGACTGCAAAAACAAAACAATAATCAGAAACACCCCAAACAACATATTGCCAAACAATTATCGCATCATCCATACTCCGATCCGCAGCTACACCAGCATAAGATGTTAGGATGTCTTCATAAATATTGTTTCACTAAAAACACACAAAAGAAACACTTCAGACTAATAATTCAAAACGAAAATCAACACATAACAATACAACAGCCTGCATACCTAAAACTTCCAACGAGCGCTTGACACAGCTCACCGAGAACTTAACAGGCACGTCTGCAACAACATCTTGCCGATATAAAAACAAGAACGGGCATTACTATAATAGACTAAAACACACAATACACGCGTAATCAACCATCACCTACTTCAACTACTGTGACACTGAAGACCGGAAGAGGGGCGGGTACGACAGAGGCTACGTTCTAATGCTTCCTACCCAGACATTTAAATACTCTGACATTAATTATCCTCATTACTCACTCTCATAAAGGGACACCACCCGAAGAAGGGAAGCCCATCCCACACTGCCACAATCTACCCCCCACCTTCTTATCGTCGCCCCGACAGGGCCTAAACAAAACTGAAACTGCTGATACGCAACAGAGTGCCAATGATCTTGAATTTTATGACGGCCTTTTACTCCAAAATTTCGCAGATACACACGCTGGCCTTCATATAACGGACCTTCCTTCACCCTCTGATCGTGATAGTCCTTGCGACGAGAGGCAGCACTACTCAGTCTCTCTCTAGCCCCTTCAAATGCCACCTGAAGTCGGGCCTGGTGCTCTCGAATCCAGTCATGGACAGTGCCAGCCTCAGACTCCTGCACCCTGCCCAACAAAAAGTCTATTGGTAACTGGGGATCTTGGCCGAACATAAGAAAGTGTGGAGACTCGCCAGTTGACTGATGTGGAGTGGTATTATAACAAAAAACTAACTGTGGAAGGCAGGACGCCCAGTCTCTCTTTCTCGAAACAGGTAAGGTACGCAGCAAATTATGCATAGTCCTGTTGAAACGTTCACATTGTCCATTACCAGCTGGATGGTAAGGAGTAGTATGTGTCCGCGTAACTCCGTACAGCTGGCACAATTGCTGGATAAGACTGCTCTCAAAACTGCGACCCTGATCAGAGTGGAGATGACCAGGCACCCCAAATTTGCAAAACTACTCTGACACAAGGACCCGGGCCACGGTAGAGGCCCTCTGATCCCGGGTAGGTATGGCCAATGTAAATTTACTAAAAATGTCAGTCATAACCAGCACATTTTCCAAGCCATGATGGGTAGGTTCCAGAATTGTAAAATCCAGGGCTAGAATCTCGTTGAGTCGTGAGGCTAACAGATGCCCCATAAAACTAGGGACAGCAAAGTTAGTATCCTTAGCCACTTGACACCTCTCACACTCTTGACACCATCGCTTCACCTCAGCAGTCATTCCAGGCCAAAAATAACGCTGGCGGACCAGTTCAGTCGTCTGCTCTACCCCCTGATGTCCATGATCTTGATGTAACTGAGTGAGTACGTCCTGCTTCAAAGAGGCTGGTAGAACTACTTGAAAGACCTCCTCACCACCATTAGGTCGAAGAGTCCGACGATGCAATATGCCATTCCTCTCCACCAGACGATCCCAATGCTGCAACAGAGCCAAAACCGAGGTGGATAACGCTCGACGCGCCGACGAACTAGGGCGCCTCTTCTGCCTCAGAAGGGTTAAAACAGCTCGAATATCAGGATCAGCCCACTGCAGAGAACACATATCAGAAGCAGAATGATAAGGTAAAACAAAAATGGCAGCTTGAGTGATGTGAGGCTGCTGTTGTAAAGCCACAGCCTGCTGCAACGGCTCTGTAACAGGAGAGGTAGTAACAGCTGTTAAATACTGCCGAGACAAAGCATCAGCGTTCTTGTTATTTCGGCCAGATCGATATCGAATTTCATAATCAAAGCATGCAAGCTGGGCCGCCCATCGCTGCTCGGTTGCTCCCAACTTGGCAGAGGCGAGGTGGCTTAAAGGATTGTTATCAGTGTAGATTATACACTTATGCCCCAAGAGGTACTCACGAAATTTTTCGGTAACTGCCCATTTCAGAGCCAAGAACTCTAGCTTCATTGAGCTGTAATTTATCATGTTACGTTCTGGTGGGCGGAGGCCGCGGCTCGCATATGCTATCGGCCGGACCCTACCTTCTTGTTCCTGTGACAGTATTGCCCCCAAGCCACAATGGCTGGCGTCTACCTCTAAAATAAAAGGCAACGCAAAATTGGCATAGGCCAGGACTGGGGTGGAGGTAAGTTTAGCTTTCAGTCTTTCAAAGCTCTGTTCACAGGCTTCTGTCCAGGCCGCCGCAAAGTCCCGTACAGTCCCTTTTCGAGACTTTGTACCAGCTAACTCAGCCACTAGCGTATGTAGGGGTGCTTCCAGTTTAGCAAAACCCTCTACAAAATGATGATAATAGCTGGTAAAACCCAGAAACGATCGCAGCTCGGACACATGGCTTGGACGTTGCCACTTGGTCACCGCCTCGATCTTCTTTGGATCAGTGGAGACACCAGCGCTGGAAATCACGTGTCCCAAATAACCAACCTCCTGCTTAAGGAAGGCACATTTCTCCAACTTGGCTTTAAGTCCTTCCTGCTCCAATCGGCTTAGCACCCCCTCTAATCGCTCGAGATGCTGTGAAATGGTAGAATAAAAAAACACCACATCATCAAGATAGAGCAAGAGAGACTGACAATGCTGTTTCCCAAACAAATGTTGCATAAGATGCTGGAAGGTGCTTGGGGCATTGCAGAGGCCAAATGGTATACGGTTAAACTCAAATAATTCAAAAGGAGTACAAAAAGCGGTCTTGGCTTTATCCTTTTCAGCAACCGGAACTTGATTGTAGCCACTGGCTAAGTCAAGAGTAGAAAACCAGCAGGCCCCAGAGAGTGCATCCAAAGACTCTTCAATACGAGGTAGTGGGAAAGCGTCTTTACGAGTCTTCTGGTTTAACTGGCGGTAGTCCACACAAAGACGAGGACTACCATCCTTTTTTCGCACCAATACAATGGGGGAAGCATAGGGACTGCAGCTCTCCCTAATGACCTGTGCCTCAAGCAACTGATCGATATGGGCCTTAACAACCTCATACTCAGATGGCGGCAGACGCCGGTAATGTTGCCTAACAGGAACTTCGTCTAACATAGGGATTTCATGTGATATAGGACTTGTACAGCCTAAATCACCCTCATGGGCAGAGAACACCGACTGATACTTATGCAACAACATCCTAACCTGTTGGCTATCCTCACTATTAATACTGGATAAGTCAAGAGCATCAATTTGACTCAAAATTGGATTAGGGGAGGTACCAGCAGCTTCAATAGCCCTCAACTCAGCTACACCCTTCGGTAGAGTAACCACATCCACACTACATAGATAACCTAGCTGTGTGCGAGCATAGAGCACAATGTCAATGGTACCAACATTTACTACAGGAATATAAACTGTACCCCGAAACACCCTAACTAAAGCAGGGGAAGCTAACAAACCTCCAGGTAGGCCAGAGTCAAGAGGCTCAAATAAAGCAAAACCACCCGAAAACTGGTCCGAACAAGTTGCAGCAACAAACTTAGTCACACCCCATGGGATACGCTGAACCCTCCCTTGACATAATTTAACACTACTCTTCAAGTCAGGTGGAGGACTACCATTCGCCTGATGATATTGCTGAAGGGCTTGAAACACAGGACCAGGTGCCTGGGACACGGTTGGCAACTCAAATAAAGCAGGCCCATGTTGACAAAACAGAAGCTCATAGCATTTGCTAATGATATTCATCCCAAGAACCCCCGGGACACTAGCACCACCCGGAGGATCTTTTACTACGAGTATACCACAACCAGGTATAACCTTTCCACACAGTGACACATCCAATTCTAGATAGCCTAAATAAGGTATGGCTAATCCATTAGCAGCCCTAAGCTGAAGCCACCAACAGGCCTGCAAACGACCCGTCTTCAAATGTTGCAAAAAGAAACTCTCGGTGACCGTGGACACCATTGAACCGGTGTCCAATAAACAAGACACCTTAACTCCCCCCATAGAGACATCTACATAAGGGCAAGAGGACATTAATTTTGCTGTGGTGCTCACATTACTCGTAACACTAGAGCCAATAGAGGCCCCACCCAAACCGTGGCTCAGCAGTTCGGTGGGCACTAGTTTTCCGACTCCTGTTGGGGAGCAGGAGGCCTAACAACAGACAGAGAAGATGAAGATGAGGCTACAGAATTAGACCGAGGGCGAAAGGAAACCCTTTCGCCATCACACTCCCTGGCAAAATGCCCAGGACACTGACACCTCCTACAAATTACAGGCCAATCTCTGGGCAGTCTAGTGCGCCTTTGATTATTCTGAAGTGAGGCAATACTTTGTGTCAACTGATTAAGCTGATCCTGCTGTCGCTTCAAAATCTCTTTGGGATCCCCTAACTCGGACCCAAACGAACCATCATGTGTCATGGTAGAAGACCCCCCTTGAACCCCATACTGGAGGCCATAGGCAGATGGAACTTAATAACTATGACCTCGAGCACCCCCAGGCATACCCTCCAATTCCCACCTAATAGCCTCCCCTCTTACATCTAACAGTGTAACCGTAGGCTGGCGACGTACTAGTTGCTTTAGCTCTCGACGGAGGGAGCCGTCACAAACATGCTCAATAAATTGATCACGTAAAAATACCTCAAAATTCAACATACCCACTGGTGCAACACGTTTTACCCGATCCATAAGACCCATCAGAGCCAAAGAAAACTCATGAAGACCCTCCCCCTCTTGCTGTTTCCTGGTAAAGAAAGCCTCTTGCAAGGCAACATATGATTGACAACAACCATACAGTTCTAGTAGAATTTGAATAATGGCTTCCCCGCTCAGCACCTGAACGAAATTTAGTTTCGCCCCTAGCCTCCTCTTCTAAGTGGTCAAACAAAAAAAGGCTTGTTCAGCTGGAACTAAATGATGAGCTCGCATACATGCACGGGCCTCCTCGACCCACTCGTCGACACCAATACCGGAACTACCTCGGAACATGGGACACTTTCTATCCCGTGGGACAAGAACAAGTCTCTCGATAGCAGTTGGAATACCTTCGGCAGCCACACTAGTAGATGGCCTTGCAGCGGTGTTATCACAAAGGGCCGGAACAGAGTCTGTTACTGCAGTGGCCACCCGCTCCTGGCGCAAACGTTCATTTTCGGCTCTCAGTTGTGCCACCATGTCTCGAAGTTCTGCCAATTTGCCATCCATGACTAAAAAGGAAAACAACAAAAAGCACACCAAAAAGCACTCAGAAGGGGCCCTAATTAGTCTAGGGTTTAGGAATCACCTCAGAGTCGGCTGCTGCTTTCCCCCTTTACCTCTACAAACAATTAAAAGAAAAAAAAAGGTAACTCAATAACAGAATCCACGTCTCCGCTTTTACAATGCAACAAACCATGCCGACTACGCCAGATTGTAACCGGAGCAGTACTTTTGGTAACCTCAAGCTTGTATAATGACTACGCCACCCTGGGAATTGCACCCAAGAAAATACTCAAGGACTATAAGTCCAATGATGCAATGAGAAGACGGAGACGTGCTTCCAACCAAACATAACTTTATAAAAAAAAAAAAAAAATTATATATATATTAGCCCATAACAAAGACATCTCAAACAATGTCATATTTGCATTAAAAATTACATAACTGAGCGAATGACACTTAATGACAGTTGTCATAAACATGCATAAAAAACCTTCATATTCATGACGTGTCATGTCATGATTATGTAGGTGTCATGTCATGATTATGAAGGTGTCATGTCAGTCTTATGCACACCCCTTCAAGTAAAGTGTAACCGAAACGTTAAACCAGCATAATACTCTTCATAAATTGACAAGTTTTATTACAGAAATGGTCATCGAGGTTCACCAGAATAAAAAGAAAACATTTTACTACACATTCATAATACAAAAAAAAAAACTAACAGAAGACAAAAAAAAAACAATCCCCAAGTATAAAGAAAATTTGTACCTTCCGCACCAACCAATATAAACAAATCCAAAACAAAAAAAAGGGAAAGCAACAAGGCTAAAGCTTACCTTAGGGGTGGCAAACTAGCTGAAATAAACAGTGCTCTCAACCAAACATGTGTGCACAGCAAACAATAGGAAGAGGTGCTCAAACCCTGGTGCTCCAAACTCACAACTGTGTGCTTCACCCAGGTGACTAGCCTCCCCTTCGGCACACTCAGCCTTGGACCAAACTAGGAGAAAAAAAGGAGAAATTAGTGGGTCCGGTACAAGTACAAAAATACAAATATCAAATATTCACTCGAGAAAGAAAAACAAATTACTATTGCTAACCAAAACGGCCAATTAATGGAGTAAAGTAGCGTCCTACACCCGCCAACCAATATAAACACAAATTCTTACAAAAATAAGGGAAAGCAACAAGGCTAAAGCTTACCTTAGGGGTGGCAAACTAGCTGAAATAAACAGTGCTCTCAACCAAACATGTGTGCACAGTAAACAATAGGAAGAGGTGCTCAAACCCTGGTGCTCCACAACGGTGTGCTTCACCCAGGTGACTAGCCTCCCCTTCGGCACACTCAGCCTTGGACCAAACTAGGAGAAAAAAAGGAGAAATTAGTGGGTCCGGTACAAGTACAAAAATACAAATATCAAATATTCACTCGAGAAAGAAAAACAAATTACTATTGCTAACCAAAACGGCCAATTAATGGAGTAAAGTAGCGTCCTACATCACTGGCAATAAACCAGAACCACTTATAATTAGGTTTTAAAGGACACGCTACCAATTCGGCCTAAACAGCTCAACTCGGACCATCACACTCAAAACAAACACAAAAACAACAAATTGAAAGCACAAACACAATTTTTACACCACAAGAAACCAAACTATAAAAAACAGCAGCACGACCCACAGTTGGTCATCAACTGAACTGCGGAAGACTGCAAAAACAAAACAATAATCAGAAACACCCCAAACAACATATTGCCAAACAATTATCGCATCATCCATACTCCGATCCGCAGCTACACCAGCATAGGATGTTAGGATGTCTTCATAAATATTGTTTCACTATTTATACACACAAAAACACACAAAACACACAAAAGAAACACTTCAGACTAATAATTCAAAACGAAAATCAACATAACAATACAACAGCCTGCATACCTAAAACTTCCAACGAGCGCTTGACACAGCTCACCGAGAACTTAACAGGCACGTCTGCAACAACATCTTGCCGATATAAAAACAAGAACGGCCCCACAGCAGCTCAAGAGTGTTAAGATTGAGTGAAATACATGTCCACTGAAGGATTTCACCTTGGGAGAATGAATATATTAATTCTCATTCTGAAAAAATATTTTGCTTTGGCTACAGTAGGTAATTCTAGTGGTGACAACAACTATGCATGTCACTTTTTCAGGCTGCATCCTACTCTGTGAGATAAGTGTCACTCTTTTCACAGCTTTTGCCGGCTCTGAGACACTTGCATGTTATTTCTCCTGCTCTTTTTCTAGCAACAATTCACTCATCACTAAATGAAAGCTTAAAGTGAAGACCTGATTATTTCAGGAGC